CAATGTTAACTCCTGGCCACTGCCTGGACTAGTTCCTGGAGTTTTCTTAGTAAGATTTTCAGAAGCAGTTTGCTCTTGCCTCCTCCTCCCAAGGCCTGAGAGAGAGGGGCTGGCCCAAGGTCACCCAGCTGGCTTCGTGCCTAAGGCAGGACAAGCACGGTCTCCCAGTTTCTAGCCTGCTGCCTTAACCACTACACCAAACTGGCTCTCATTATTTGATGTACTACTGTCCTAATACATTATGCACACTATGAAACATATCTCCAAAAATGGAAATTAAAAAAGGATGAGATAATATGAAATAATATTTTAAAAGCAATGTTATTAATGGTACAAACCCCTTTTTGCACTCACTAAAAAAAAAAAAAAAAGTTTCCAGTGTCAGTCTGTATTTTTTTATTATGTGTCATCAAGTTGGTGTCAACTCTTAGCGACCACATAGATTTTCTCCATAATGATCTCTCCCTAACCTGGTCTTTCAGGTCTTCCAACAGTGCACCCACGCAGAGTAACAGATTTTAAATACTAGTACAGGAAGTCCTTGTTTAGTGACTGCCTCAGACAGTGACTGTTCACAGTTACGATGGTGATGAAAAAGTAACTTTGCGACCAATTTTCCTGTTTATGACCTTTGCAGCATCTCTTAGTCGTGTTTGCCATTATGGTCAGTTAATACGTGTTGTCCTGTGCCTGACCCATTTTTTTTCCTTTTCCCCCACAGAGCAGAGAGATTGCCTAAACAATCTCTCTCCTCTTGAGCTGCAGAGGGTCCCTAACCACAAGTTAACAAGATCAGCTCTGTGAACTTAATTAGTTGATTAGAACAGGGGCCGGCAGCTGCTGCCTGAAATTGATAAGACCCTAATCAGTTTCACACTAAAGGCTTTTGTTTGCCCCCTAAGCTGATGGTGGTGCTAGGACAGCCTGAACCAGTGCATTGTTTTCGATCTGTGTTCCTTATTGTGTGCCTGCTTACTCTCTTATAATCCCTTCCTCTTCAATGAATGTAAATACAAACATCAATTCTCTTCTTGCTAATTATCCAGCGTTGGGGTGAGCATTCCAGAGAGGAGTGGAGGAAAAGGGCTATAAAATTTGCCCTTTTATCTGGCTTCCTCGTGAGTCAGGTTCTGGAAATCTTCCCTGCCATTTGGGATTGTATCCTTCTGATGCTGTAAAGTCCTTGTAAAGTCCTGTAAAGTAAAATCGTAAGCATAGTCACAATCACGTGATTTTCACTGAGTGATCATTTTGCTTAACGACTGAGTTGCTGATCCCAATTGCAGTCGCTAAAAGAGGACCACCACCAATATAGCTTTTTAATTTTTTTAGTCAAGTAAATATAACTATTTGGAAATATGTTGCTATATTCTGGATATATGTGTAACTTATAATATCTTAATTCTTTGGGATCTAAATGTGCAGATGGTATTCTTGAACTTCGGAGAACGTTGGCTGGCTCAGTGGTTATGTTTCCTGATTTGTCAAACTATTGGTTTGGTTTACACATAATGCTAAGACATGAAGATCATGGTTTACACGTGGAGCAAAGACAAAGACACTCTATAGAGTGCAATGTGAAAAACCAATCAATAAGGCCTTGAGTAAAATTTGGAGCACAGGTCAGCAGATCTTAAAGAGTGTGAACAACAGCAAAGGATTAAATGTAAATATTTGGGGGGGTGAGAGCTCCTGAAGTCACTTATCTTAATGGCTTACACTCTCCTTTTCAACTGTACCTTAAAAAAATAGCTACATGGAACCCCATCAAGTTCTGGTGGAACCCTAGAGGTCCATAGCACCCATTTGAAAAACCCTGAAATAGACAATATTCTCAAGTTTGAGGGATGGAACTTCGTCCTCTCTCTCTGTTTTGGAGAGGAATTTTAAGTGGTGAAATGAGTACCTTCAGCCTTTTTCAATTTGTGCAAGTTTAAGGCATCCATTTGTTTCTCCCTCCTCAAAAAAAAAAATTGAAAAGTTTTCAAAGCAATGAACTTGAGCCACCGTTCCTTGCTATTTTGTGATATAGGTGATTCTCTTTCTTAAGGGGTCTTACAGCTGATTATGGATGTATAGAGCTGCTTCAGACTTTATTCTGGGGGAGGGGAGGAGAAAGGGATTATAAGTGCTTAGAATATCCTCTTGTTCAGACTCTGAGATATCTTAGAACACCTCCTGATATGTTCATTGCAGGAAATGAACTGCTTGAATGATGAAGCCATATCATTGCTAGGCCAAGGGATCTGCTAAGATCCACCTTTGAAGGAAAAAGAGGATTTGGAGCATGCTTGTAAGAGGCAGAGGGAATGGCCTTGAGGGACAAGAGGAAGAGCTGCAACCAAGACAGCCGTCAGATAAAAGAAATCTGAGTCGGGGCAGAAATGTAATTTGAGAAAGTGTCTCAGACATGGCCCTCCCTAGTTCTCACGAAGATAATGGGGCGGTGGGGGAAGGAGTGCATTCAAACTTGTGAGATTCTGTTTCAGTAGCTCTATCACAGTGTTGTCCAGACTTGGGCCGACTATCCACACGGCTGGAGTGAAGAATACCCAAAAACCCCCAAACTATACCTCTGGTGGGCGGCGTGTGAGGCGCGGGAGAGGAT